AGCCCTTAAACGATCTTGGTGGTCCAACTGTTTGTACTATGGGCGTTGGAGATGAATTTTTCCAAATATGTTTTAGTCTGGTGCGGTTGTATGGCACTCTTGGTGCAATAAGGTCACATTTGCATGTGTGTTGCAAAAAGCGAGAAAACTAAAATCCGTTGCCCACTGCACCGAACTCGCAACGAGAAATCTGCGGGTAATAAGGTCCACGATTCTACAAACATCTACCCACAAACCTGAAAAGTGTTACAAACAAAGTGTCGAGGAGTTTCTTTTGAAACAATTATAATTTTGTTTTACACGACTTCGTTGTAATTATACAAGTAGCAGTTATGCTACTTTTTTCATATTCGTTATTAATGTTTGCGTTAGTGACAATCATATTATCCTAATAATAATAAATAAATCGTTTATTACATGAAAATGCAATTGGCTACAAATTTAAAGCTTTTTAACACCATTTTCTCTGGTACCTGGCCAACTACTTAGAAATTTTGAATCGTTCTTAAATTCCTTTTCTTCTTCGTCACTTACTTTTCTTCTTTCCATCGCGACTCTCTACGAAATTACCGAAGCGAGCACACGTGCTCGACTTGACGATTGAAAATTATATAACCGAACTGCTTATAAAGCATAGTATTTCTTGAAATTACAAGCTCGTTTGGGCCTTTACGCCTTTACTTTACCTGTTCTTTTCCCTTCTCTTGTACTCTTTATTTCTACAATAAAATTCATGTGGACCGAACCTTCTATTTAATTGCGCGAAGCCCACGTGACAAAGCAATAAACCTGTAAGAGCGCTGCTGGCGCTGGTGGCGACTCCTGTTGGCACCGCTTTAGCATGTCCATGGATTGTAATGTAGGATGGAAAGTGTAGTCGTAGCCTCCGCAGCTTCCGCAGTCTCCATACATCTTCCTTAGTAAGTTAAAACTTTAAATTTCAAAATAGTGATAGTAAATCCAGTTTTATGAATATTATTCCCGTTTTATTAATATTTACGATCTTTAAAATATTTATTGCACAAGAGATTTTTGGTAAATGGTAAACGATTCAAAAAATTAAAGAGAAGACGTGTTCGCTGCCGCAGTCGAGCAGGAAGTGACGATGAAACGAAACAAAATCAGAATGCGAGGCAAAAGAACTATGGTACAATTAAAAATTTAAATTTAAATAGGAGTGGCCAGGAACCGGAGAAAGGCGACAAAAAGTGGGATGACGATGTGAGGTCACACTGTCACATATCTTACCTATCGTACGTCATATCGTACACTCGCATAGATATGTATAACAACATCAACAGTACAAAACTTAGTCATCTGAGATTTGTGATAAAAATTTCTTTTTCGCTTTCTTTTTAAATGTTAATTTAAATAAATTATTTTCACATTGTATTTACACCCTTACCCTTCAACACTAGAACGCAGTAACGTTTACATTACTACTCACATCAGTGCTTCCTTAATGAGCCTTACAGCAAAATGATGTCAAAAGAAGGAACTTAAAACGGAAACGTAGAACCGGTACTACCTATTGGAGTCAACTTTTCTACCGCGGAAGTATCTGCCTGCTCACTGTACACGTATTACTAAGTCAGTAGAGCCGACCGGTCGGCGCAAGGTGATTATCTATCGGTTCTGTCTGATAGGGTTATTAATCAGAACTGTTTTCTTGACCGTTATTTTGATAGTAGTGGTAATTCTGCGCTTAATTTAAAATATATTATAATATATATCGAGTTCTTAGGTATTCGCGATTGTTACGTGATTAGATTTTATTCTAATTTCTATTAATAATTAATAATAAATTGAACTTAATAAAAATTCATTGGATAAAATAATTTGTAAAATGTAATGTAGCGTAAATTGGAATGTTTTCTTTGTAAAATTTAAAATGAGGTATTTAATTAATAACTATAGGGAAAAAATAGGGTGGTTTGCATCAATATTAGACATAACTGGTTGAAGACTGTACCACCTCAGTCAACCGTGACCATGGGACCTGTAAAGGGCCCGAAACGTCGGTTTTTTGAAAAAACAAATATACGCGATTTAAATCCGGAAAAATAGTTTCATTCTTTATTATAATATAATTTTAAAATATCTGAATAATATACCACTTTGTTGTTTCTTTCTGTTGTTTTCAAAATTTCTTCGATCCGTCTGGATTGTTTTTAGTAGCAGTAGAGCTATATTACCTATTTCTACCGTCAAGCAGTAATGCTCACATTACTGCGTTCCGGTTTTAAAATGTAACGGTGCTTGTGAAATTACAGGCACATGGGACTTGTCAACTTATGTCTCAAGGTGATGGGCGCTGCTAAAAAAGCTTGAACCAGCGACTTCGCCAAACTGGGTCTACCGTTCCGTTCGTTCTGTGATATTATAAATAGTTATAAACTTTTTTGTAATCTATAATTAATTGGCAAGTTTTATTGAAATTTTTTTAGTAGACAGTAGGTGAAATCCTATAAAGCGGATTCATCGCTTAATTTGCTACCCTTAAAAGTATATTTTCTCCAAATTTGAATGGGACACCACAGCAAAAAGAGATACATCGAAATCGTTCTACAAATGTCGGAGTTATCGCGTAACAAACACTAAAAGTATACAGTCGAATTGGAAACCTACTCCTTTTCTTTAAGTCATTAAAAAAAAACCTTTGAATGCATTGACTTACAATTACATGGACGTCGGGTCCGCGCTAAAAAGTGTCCGCACTTGTAGGGCGTTAAAATCGTATACAGAGCGTTCTTCACGCTTTAGTCTTCGTTTGTTCGACTGACAGCGAAGCAAGCAGAATTAGACAGTACTGCGATGACATTACAATTTAAATTCAACGTTTTAGCTTTTTCATATTCCTTTACATGTCACTACGTTTAAATAGGTTGACTTGGGACATTTTTTTCGTGGTTTTTGTATTAGACCCGTCGTCTATTTATTTGTAAGTCAATGTTTGAATGTCCATATTGTTTCTATGACACTCTTCCATTATATAGCCACACTCGTAACACAGAGTTTTGAGGTTTTTTGAAGCCGAAGGTTTATGTTAACAAGGCCACGACCATCCACGCCTTGAATGAGGAAATTGAGAGCTCTGTATCAACGAAATTCAACCATAGTTATGCAGAATGGTCATCAAACATTTCATGAAAGCAGTGCGAATGTGCCCGCAAAGCCATTGAGGCCATTTAACCGACATACTTTACCACATATAACCCCATACCATGTACTTCGTGGATCAATAAAAAATATTTTTTTGTACAACACAATTTTGAATTATCTGCCGTCCGCGAACTAAAAGTGGCAAATTATTTTTTTGAGATATCATAAAAAACCATAACCCAGTTGTAGAATTCTGAAATTGTTTAGTGATATTTCAGTTATACATCGTTAGGATAAGTTCCGATAAGTCGAACTCGTTAACTAATTGTAGCCGTTTTTGAAAAAGAATTTTGTGCTCCATTTTTTGCTATTTAAGACGGTTATTTGACCATTTTTCACTTAGCTGCGTTTTAATTAGTGGACGGCAGTTATAAACCTGTTTTCTGTCAAAGTTACTTCTTGCGTGAGTTTTGGACACCCGTTGTAATGAAATCGTACGTATATGCATAATATAAGCCTAATACCCAATTACGGCCTGGCCCTTCCGGAAGACGGCTCGTGGTGCAATGAATCGCCAAACAAGGACGTGAATGGCGGTAACGTTTCTTTAATTGATACCTCTACATGGCCATAGGTAGTTTTAATGTGAGGAAGTAGGTATTTTGTAGAAGTAGTTATGGTAGTTTCTTAACTATTACCTACTATTTTGCTGTAATTTAATTATGATCCATTTTCAGAAGTTGTTATTTAGTAGAAGTCTGTTCTTATAACTGTGTTCACTGTCATGTTTTTAAAGATAATAGAGTATAAAAGTGTATGTCATGAAGTACTGCCACCTTACCAATTTCTGCCGCCAAGAAATTACTGGCTTGTCAACTCATGTCTCAGGTTTGACAGGCGCAGTGGCATTGCATCTTTGCGATTTATAGCTCTGAGTGGCACTGCATTATGGACGCCTTGTAGCTTACGATCAGGCGCACGACTTTTTCGTCCCATTACTGATATTATAAAAAAACTTTACGCTATGATGGACTGTTGTGGTCCGAATTGCAAAGATTATTGTACATTCAGCCTAATTGTCATAAGTTCTTATGCAAGAACTCGTAGAAGATTCCCTCGTTTTCAAAAACATTAGGATTTAAAAGCTTTCGCATAAAATTGTCAATAGGTATACGATGACTTTCAAAAATTACGCAACGATGTGAGGACAATACGTAATTTTAAATTTCTCTCTCCATTAGAAAGAAACAAGCAATTCCTGAGTTTCAATGTGGGAGACATTAGTGCAATTATAAGCTGTCCCACGATTGTTGATGAGTGGTGGTTTAATACTTTCTATGCAGGAAAAACTCGTGTATATAAAACACAATGTATGTACGTTCAGATTTCCGACACTTAACGATCGATTAATAATACGTCTTATGTGTCAGAGGAAAAAAAAACTATAAATGACATGAGGTTTGTTTGATATGCAGCAGCAAATTGCTGACGGGTTGATAATAAGATATGTAGGTAGTCATGAAGAGGAAAGTACGTAATATGTGTAAATGCCGTAGTTAAACAAAAATGATCCAATCCAGTCATTTTCGAAATACCTATGGAAGTTTTAAGTTTAATAGAGCTTCTCACTCTCGTTTTATGCTGAAAACTTATAATGTCATGTAAGTCCAAAGATATTTATTCACGATTGTATGTTGGATTGTTTTGGATGATCTAAGAGTTTACGAACTGTTTGATACACACACATAACTCATTTTTTTAATTTTGTGGATTGGATCCTTTTTGCTTAACTACATCCTATTAGACTTTTCAAAGCCTTAAAAAACACTCGATGATTTTCACAGGACATCTATTATGTAATTCAAAAGTATAACGTAAAATTTGTAATTTTTTTTCAGAACTCTAGTGGCAGCGAGCCTCGATCTCGGAGTGCGACTCCCGACTCTTTGGACTCGCTGCCAAGCGGGGGGTCCGGCAGTCCACCAGCCGAGTGGGCTGATGCTGTTACTCCACCCGATTTTGTGTAAGTATTACACAAAAAAGAGAAAGATCTCCAAATAACCTTGCCCCGTAACCTATAATATGAACATGCCTATTGTTGATTTTTGCGCATTGCCTCAGGGCATCGGTGGCATTCTTTATAACGCATATTTTCGCAACTGTAAAAAGAATGATAAATTACATGTGCCGGTTTTCATTGTTGTATTTTGCAGAAGTGAAATCAGGTCACATCACTAGCATTAATCTCGGGAATCTTACAAATATTTCACTGTCTTTTGTCACCATTTGGAGATGGCCTTCTTTGATAATGGTTAACGATACGTACTCATAGAAAGCTGGTACTTTGTCATCTGAATGTAATCTGATGCGATTAGTAATTGTTCCAAGTTACCTATGCTCTAGTTAAAGGTAATTTATGTTTAATTAGGTATTTTCGCGGTTTCATAGCTCCGCGTTTAATATCATATTTCTTGTTTGCAGCGATAGTTTCCCGCCACCTGGCACTCATGCGCCATTGGCTCGGACACCGTCAGCACCAGCTGCGCCGCGGCGTTCACGCCTCTCGCCCCCCGGCCAGCATGACTCGCCTCCGCTAACTATGCACGAGCTCTTCAAGCCCAACGATCTTCACTGGGCTGACATTGCAAGCAATACCGGTAAGATGTTCTTTCTGACTATTATGTTGACCTGGTACCTATATGACAGAATTACATCATTTTAGAAGACTACAACAGTCTTAATAAATACGGATTGTTTACCAATTTCAGAGGGAATCGAATTGATAGGCTACCAAAGATATGGGACAGTCCAAGGACCAAGAATAGGCAAGGAGCGAATCAACGGGTCTATCTTGAAGGACAACGATCCCTTCATGTAAGTAACAAGTTCTGTTTCTTTGTTGACTTTTTACTCAATTTAGATACCCGAATAGGAAACATGTGTTCTTAGTACGCACCTGAAAGTGCAACTGCTTAAATATCTTTTTCTGTCACCGTAGCAACAAACACACAACGATATCGCGTGCCAAAAGCGCAGCATCTGGCCAGCAGCCACTCAGTTTCGAACACAAATTCAACCTAGACAGACAGATGATGGAACACGAGGAGGAGTGGCCCGAAGACGACAGCACCATTGACATTGAGAACATCGGAGAACCCCAGTTGAAACGCCTACAGCCACTTATTTGGTTGGAATTAACCACGATGTTCGATAGATACTCGCTGCCTTTCCAGAAGAGGAAGCCGCCCAAGAAGAAAAGGAAAGAAGGTAACAATGCCTTAAGTTGAATGGCATACTTGCGAATCACACAATGTCATATATCGTATAGCAGTGTCCATCTGGCAGGATCTAAAACATAGTGAACGGTGTTTACAGAAGGCGCGGTCTTTGGCGTGGCACTGGAGACACTGCTGCGTAAAGATATGATCCTGTGGGAGGAGACCTGGAGCTCGGTGCCAAGCGTGGTGCGCGCACTCATCACCGCTCTACGAGCACGAACGCAAGATGAGGGCTTACTGCGTGTGCCTGGCAACAAGCAGAAGGTGAGGTTTTTGCTATTTTTCTGTCTTTTAAGAAGAAATAAAGATTGCAAATTTTTTTTGGGTCTTTAAGAGCTCAAAGTTGGCATTTATAACACTAGACATATTTCAGCTTAGGCTGCTAACAGATACGATTTTGGTTGCATGAAGTCGGTTTGGACTGCATCCAGTTAATGCGTGAAGTCGTTATTCGAGACTTCAACTGCAAGAAGTTGGTAACGACTTCACGCATTAACTGCATGCAGTCAAAATCGACTTCATGCAGTCAATCTTTTAAGTCATTCTTTCAATAATCTTCAGTCAATCTTTTAGTAGCAGTAGAGGTCCTTGCGAAAGAGTTCGTCCAGGGTAGTATTGTCACTTTAACTATTTCTGCCGCCAAGCAGTAATGTCAGCATTACTGTGTTCCGGTTTTAAAGGGTAAGGTGCTGGTGAAATTACAGGCACATGGGACTTGTCAATTTAGGTCCCAGAGTGACGGGGGCAGTGGTAGTGCACCTCAGACTTTTGCGATTTAAAGTTCTGAGTGGCACTGCAACTGTTATGGACAGGCGTGTTGCTTACCATCAGGCGTGCGCCTGATTTGTTCGTCCCGTCACTTGATACTATAAAAAAATCTGCTAACAGCCTTAGGATTGTTTCACACGAACTATTTCTAATAGGACTTATGCTTTCAGATCGAATCCTTGTGTCAATTAATCGAGCGACAATGGTACGAAGACCGCGGCGCCGTGGAAGCGGCCCTATCGCGGGCCAGCAGTCACGACCTGGCCGCGGTGTTCAAGAGATTGCTACGGGCTCTCCCCCAGCCGCCGCTCACACAGGAGCTGATGCGACTCTTCTATCACACTTATGGTGAGTAAACTCGATATTAAAAGATATTCTTGACCATATTCCCTTTACGTCAACTCTTCAGGCAGCAAACAAATTGACTGCATGTTTGCAGTCAATTCGTTAGCTGCCTAAATGCAATGCAATCAGTCTCGGCTGCATGAAGTTAATGCGTCGGTTTCGACTGCATGCAGTAATGCGTAAAGTCGTTATCCGAGACCTCGACAGCATGCAGTCAATTTGTTAGCAGTCTTATAGATACATGTCGCTTTTATTCCTTTTGCGTTGGCTTGTTAGATACGTGTCCTCTTTGTGTCGCTTTTATTCTTTTTACGTCGAGTCAAATATGATGACGATATGTTTTGTCTTGCTTTAATTTCCTGTACGCCAAACGTAACCTAAGTACAGTGGAAAATTGAAATTTAATAAATTAGTTTATTATTTATCGAGGTCTTAGGTTTTCGCGATTGTTACACATAGGAAATGAAACTATTTTTCCGGATTTAAATCGCGTATATTTGTTTTTTCAAACAAACCGACGTTTCGTGCCCTTTACAGGTCCCATGGTCACGGTTGACTGAGGTGGTACAGTCTTCAACCAGTTATGTCTAATATTGATGCAAACGACACTATTTTTTCACTATAGTTACAATAGTTATTAATTAAATACCTTATTTTTAATTTTACAAAGAAAACATTCCAATTTACGCTATATTAAGTTTTACAAATTATTTTATCGAATGAATTTTTATTAAGTTCAATTTATTATTAATTATTAATAGAAATTAGAATAAACTATAACATATTAATTAGTACTGCAGTCTTATGTCTGTTTGGGATTTTTCATTAGAGGAAATACTGGATCCCAAACTGGTGGTACGGAGAAACCATCTTCCCTGTTGAAATTAGGATGTTTTTTAATTTCAATGGCCTCTCGCAGCATCCTGGGTAGATAACGGTATTCTTTTGCAAGGACCTGGGGTTTGTCGAACTTCATTGAATGTGTAGGTTTATCCATGACATGCTCGCAGACTGCAGACTTGTTTACGCGACGGTGTTTGACATCAGCTATATGTTCTTTGACGCGGGTACAAATACTTCGCTTTGTTTGTCCAATATTAGAGATATAGTTTATTATTTGATTGTGCAATTAATGAAAATAAGGAGTAGGTATTTCTATATACTAAAATAACACTGTTTTGCCGAGAATATTTATTTTGTAGTGATTATATGACTGTGAAATTAAATTTATGTCATAATATTGTGTATAATAAAAATAATAATAGGGGTTAAAGTATGAAATTGCCGATTTGTACTCAAAATCTAAATTGTTTATTTTTTAAATTTTTAACAAATTTATTTAATCAAAATAGTTGCCATTATTATCTATACATTGCTACCATCTAATGGGAAGGTTATTAATGCCTTTGCGATAGAACTCCGACGATCTAGACTGCACAAACTGTGTGAAAGCATTTTGTACTGCCTCCTGGGAAGAAAACTTCTTGTCACGTAGATAATTGTCCAAATCACGAAAAATATGGTAGTCCGTTGGAGCAAGGTCTGGTGAATACGAAGGATGACGAATGGTTTCTAACTGCAGTTCCTGAAGGGTCAAAATGATTTCTCGTGCTGTGTGAGGTCTCGCGTTGTCGTGGAGCAATAATGGTGAAGATCGATTCATGAGTCGGGGCTGTTTTACTGCTAGTTTTGTCAACATGGTTCGGAGTTCGGCACAATAGACATCTGCCGTTATTGCTTGACCAGATCGGAGAAAACTATAGTGAATAACACCATGCTGAGACCACCAAACAGTTACCATTACCTTTTTATTGGTAAGTTTTGCTTTAGGACACTGTTGTGGCATTTGACCTGGGGTCAGCCATTGCATTTTTCTTTTCCGGTTATCATAAAGAATCCACTTTTCATCACATGTTACAATTCGATCCAATATTCCTTCATTTCTGTACCGGTTCAACAAGGCAACACAAGTTTCAACACGCGTTTCTTTCTGCAGATCAGTCAAATCATGAGGCACCCATTTTTCGTATTTTTTTATTTTATTGATTTGACGCAAGTGAGTCAATATTGTGGGTAAGGTAACGTTAAACCATGCCGCTAATTCCTGGATAGTTTGACTAGGATCGGCTTCCACTATCTCTCTTAATTCATCGTTATTCACCTGTGTGGGCGGTCTTCCTCGTGGCTCGTTCTTTAAGTCGAAATTTCCATCACGAAAGCGTTTAAACCAAAATCGCACGGTGCGTTCATTAGTAGACCCCTCTTCAAACGCAGCATTGATATTGCGGGCTGTTTCTGCCGCGTTAGTTCCGCGTCGGAACTCGTATTCAAAAATCACTCGAATTTTCGCAGTATCCATCTTTCTTGTCTAAATTGAATAACAAAAACAATTGAAAGTCGATATTCAAATGTTTCAAATTTAAAAAAAAAAAAATAATCACAGAAACCATTTGAAAAAAGTTTCATTCGAAAACCTCAAACCATGAAGATTCTATGAAAATTCAAAGAACCTATTGCAATAAAACGGCAATTTCATACTTTAACCCCTAATATTACTTTTATGAGCTAAGAGCATCCAGTAAATGTGTATGAATGAAAAAAAGAACCAACCGAATTCTTTACAATTATCGTTAAACATTTAAGTTCTATTTTTATATTAAATAGTACTTGTTTTAGCGCCTGTTTCACCATCTCCGAGTATAGGTACGCTAATAGTCGAATATAATATAGGACGATCAAAGACATTATTATAGTATAATATCATTGTATTATGTTGTTTGTTGTGACTTTATTATACCATTATGAATCCGAATTTTAGGAATTCTTGATTTTCACTTAGTCTCTGCATGTGCTTATTTTTCTTTTGTTAAAACCACGGTTTTTCGTTTCAGCCCTAACCGGCACAACGCAAGGAAGAGCCCTGAACCTGCTGGTGCTGCTGCTGCCGCCGGAGCAGCGCGCGACGCTGCGCGAGCTGCTGCGACTCGTGCGCCAGATCGTGGCCCACAGCGACACCAACAAGATGAGCGAGCACAACGTCGCTATGATCATTGCGCCTACGCTGTTCCCGCCCAGGTACAATTATTTTGCACTAACATCGTTACAATAGCTTGTAAACTGTCATACAGTCAATTTTGGTAACTTTGTACACTTCTCAGGTTCTTACGTATATATTAAAATAAAAATAATATTGGTCGAAATAGGTTTTATTGATGAGCGATTGTCCTTTCGTACCCAAACTTGGAATAATTTAACTAAAAATTATGAACCAGAAAAACACTCAGTAAATTGCGTTTAAGGGCCCATTTAACGTTACCCCGACTTTTGGTTTTTTGTTTGAATTGACTTGTTTTGAAAATCCTTTTTCGTTAACTATTTAACTGGGATTATACTCATATTTTGAATCTAATAAAAATATAGTCCTGACTAATTAAAATAAACTTGTCATAGCGAACAATTTACTTCGGCATACCATTCACCAATTAGCAGTTACCACTAATAGAAAATGAAGCACAAAGAAATAGTAGTAAAATTTTTCATCCTTCGGGACAGGTTAAGGCGTCTAATTAACCATTCTGCCAGATCTTAGATTGAAATTTTTCTTCAATAGTCTAATTTTGTGACATTTTTTCGTGGGATATCGTTTGTCTTCAGTAATATCATTGTTTGGCTTTATGGCGGCCATTTTGAAACTCCGCACAACGAAAATGGCGCGTGACTTTCAAAACTTCTTTGGTACCTAACTGTCAAAGTTAAACGTAGATAATAAGTCACATCTGACATCTAGAATACTTGGTCTTTCCGTTTCACGGAGTTATCGATGTACTTATTTGACTACAAGTTTCTTTAGAAAAAAAAAACGAATCTTCTAAGCAGTTTTATTACCATCTTGACGGTACTATTGAGGCCATTGGCCAAGAGCAGGACGCATAATGATCTAACGATGATATTATATAGATTATATAGATATCAGACAATTTGTGTTCCTAATCTCGTATTGTTTATTCTAGCCTCCTGATCAAGCTATCAGACAGCCTGGAGACGCAGCTAGCGACAGCCGCGAACAGCTGCCATGTGACAGAAGCACTCATGCGGTGGAGCGAGCAACTATGGACTGTGCCTGCCTCGCTCTACACCACCTCCCAGAGGAAACCACATCCACACCGTAGAAACCACCATACTTGAATATGCCCTAATCGAGGTTACGGCTGAGTTGCACATACCTTTGATGGTCAATGGAGACCAAACCCATCAGAGATTAATTAAGGACTTGGACACGATCAGAATACCTCTGATTTAATGGACCAATCCATATGGTGCTCATGTATTAAGGACAACGGATATATCTGTCCTGTTGTGCTGTGTCTGTTTTATTCCTGAACAATATTATGGTTTGAGTGATATATTTTTAATGTAATACATGCATATACTCCGTGTTAATTGTATTGTTAACGCATTTAGTGTGGTATAGAAATGTGAATAAGATGCCAAATATCAGCTACTTCTTAATTTTGTTTAGTGATATTTTCATGAAGATATCTTGTTCCAGTTTATTAAGGCTGTTCCCACTATGTAATCACTTCTTGTTTAATTAAATTACTTATATTACATTAAAATAACAAAATCATGGTGCCATTGAGTTTCGGTTTAGTTGGAAAAGTTACCGTTTGGCAAGATTGCAGCGTTTGTGTTTTCACCATGGTGCCTTTTATTGATATTTTGTAATTTACTTGTAAATTTTATTCCAAACCTGTAAGAACTATTTCAAAACGTTATTGTATAATATTTTACCAATACTTTGACTAGGCAAGCAAAGACTGACTTGGTGTTTAGTTTATAAACTTGATATAATAATATTTCTAAGTGTATTTACTTCAATAAATAAAAATACCTGTATTTAAAAAGAACCTGTTTTATTACGTAACTGACCAATCAATATTTGTAATTCTTCATTAAATACACGGCTTCATTATCAGCACCACAAAGGATCCTTCCTCTGTCACAATCGAGAGTGTTAATTGCCTTATGTAGCGTTGGCATGAGTGAGTTTACCATCATAGGGCTTTTATCCTCCAAGGGCATCCATGTAGACGGTTGATTATCAGGGCCTTTTGTACTTTTGGTCAGCGATTCCATGTTCCAGTCCCATATCTCTCCGCTAACAGAGCATGAAATTAGTTTATGAGGGTTTTCAGGGTGGAATTGCATTTCTGACACACCAGCAGCATGAGCATTAAGTAGAGATGTTGGGAATGAGTTCACACGTAGATCCCATACAGCTAGTGCTCCAGATTCTGAGCCCGCAAGAACTATATGTGGCTGAGTAGGATGGTTAACAATGCAGGTGGCAGCCGCTTCATCTCCAGCTAGAAGAAATGATGCAGCAGGTTTGTCTTCTGGAGACCGAAGATCCCAAATCTTCATATGACCGCGAATGTTGCCTGTTATTAGCTGTAAAGAGATAAATAATAGATAAATAAATTATTTGATTACGATTGTTAAAACGATTTAAGTCCTCAATAATAAAATATCACCATTCCAAGCATTGACTTACAATTATATGGACGTCGGGTCCGCGCTAAAAAGTGTCCGCACTTGTAAGGCGCTAAAATCGTATACAGAGCGCGACACTCCGCTTTAGTCTTCATTTGTTCTACCGATAGCGCGATACTGCGATGACATTACAATTTAAATTTCGAATAGGTTGACTTGGGACATTTTTTTCGTGGTTTTTGTATTAGACCCGTCGTCCATTTATTTGTAAGTCAATGATTCCAAGTCATATTTTTGAACAAATAAATTTAAAAAACATACTGAACAATATAGTGTTATAATTATTAGTAGAAATACATTCCTACAAATTCCTTTGGTCCGGCCGGATTCGAACCGACGTCTTCTAGCAAACCGTGGCAGACGCTATGCCAACTAAGCCACGGAACGAACCAACGGACTTCACGAATTTTTCCATGTGCTTGTTTGTTGGATCTTTGTATTTGGTTTTTAATGACTTTTTAGTCGTAGCGCCATCTATGAGAAATCCATGAAAGTATTTCGTCACTCAGTTAAGTAACTTTACAGCTACCAGCCATGACGAAAGTTGATGATGTCGCTATTGTCTGTAATTAAATTATTATTGAATGGATATTTAGAAATTATTTATTTAATGTATTGTTTAATATTTTAATGCTGTTTTCATCATTATAAAATAGAATTTTGTCATAATGGGCACAATGGAGTTAAATGGCATATATGGCTGCAGTGTTAAAAAATACTGCCAGTCGAGACATTTTGGGTGAAACTTAGCAATAACATATTGGAACTGTGGAATGTTCGTAAAAAGCAATAATTCTATTACTGAAATTTAAATTCTTTTTAGCCATAAGTTGACGAGTCCCAAGTGCCTGTAATTTCACCAAATTTACTTTGAAGAAATTTACTTCAAAGCAAATTTGGTGAAATCTTTAAAACCGTATAAAATTGGTATGTACACAAGAGCTTTCGTCCTGCATTGACAATAATAAAATGCATCATTTATTAAGCTTCCTCAAAACGTCTCAACAGACAGGATTTTTAACACTGTGGGCTGGTGTCATTGTAAATCTGTTGCCTCTTTTTAAGAAATAAATAAACTATTTTTTCTTTGTTTATGTTGTATTATATGTTCAATTTTACTATAGATCAATTCTATAATTAATAATTCTAAGCTCAATATGATATTAGGCGTTAACTGTTTTTCATGTTTCCTTGTTAAATTTTGGCTTATTAGATTTTTACACGTTTTCACTAGAGCCACAGAATTAATAAAAATAAACCAAATAATGTAATAATGAATAATGTGACTCAACTACATCATTCACTTCACTTCACGCGTAAAAGCCAGTCTTTGTTGTTTATTTACTTATTTTAGTGTCATTATTATCATGCCTTTATTTCTTACTTTAAGTCGTACAATAGATCTCTTGTGATTGTGTTTATTGGGAAGAATCTGATTTCCAAGATACATTATCATACCTGTTTGGAAGCCGGAGCATCACAATTTTGTAATGCTTCATTTATTTGATAAATAAAGATATTATACCAATTAATTGCCTAGTCTCACACTAGAGGAATTCCCTGCACTATGAGTACCAAAGCAACGGATTCACTCTGGTGCACTAGCCAGAACACCAACTTAGAAAAGTTAATTTCTCAACTTGAACCTACCGGGAACCGAACCTTCGTCTAGTGTCCAGACTGCAAACCGTTGAACCGTCATCATAAAAAATAATATTATAAACTACTAACTTATCAGATTTTAGTACGTTCTGGATATAAATACTGCCGCTGTTAGTTGAAAGGGCGCATGTGAAAATTTTTCATAAAATAATTGTTATTTATACTTGTTATATATGCTATGATCAGCAAAAAAAGGCTGATCTGTCACTAGTTTTGTTTTTTCCTAGGTAGATAAGGTATGAAGTTACCACAAGAGGAAGTAGATATTGTAAATTTAATTTCATTAAACATTATTTTCTCGGTTTTAAATTTTTGTCACAACGCCCATTCAAGTAATAGCAAAATAGTCTAGTAAACTTACTTCATTATGTTTAAAAAAGCAAACAGAATGTAAAGAGCAGCTATCAGCTTCTTTGATAGAGCGTGTGATGTCTCCTCTCCGTCCGCTGAGAATGTTGATATGGCCATCTTCACCTATGGACACTATGTCGCCTTCTATTGTGTCTAAAGACGTACATGAACACTGCTCTGAGCTAGAATAAGAAAGAAAAATCTAGTGAGACACTGCTTAATTGAAAGTAGAAAGCTATACATATTTATTATGATTGTTAAAAAAGAACGAATATGACCATACTGCACTGTAGTATTGCTCTTACCAACTGAGGTACGGGTCAAATTATCGATTAGTCGAAACTTTCGTATGTCTTTTTGTTAAAGATCTTTGTACTGGACCTGTCGGCATTCTGAGCCACTAGTGACATCTAGTGAGAGATTTTAGAACCTTCACCGCAGCCTTTAGTGCTTCAACCGACGCAATCGCAGACCGTCGCTTTTTGAACAAATGTATTATTTGTGATTTTTTTTGTTAAAAATCTTTGTACTGGATTTGTCAGCATTCTCGGCTGCTCAGCCCATCGGGTTAAAATAGTTTTTTTTAGTGTTCAATCTTTGTAATAATAATCATTATAAAAACTAGTGCAGTTATTTCACGAAAAAATCTCAAATTGTACATATTTATGTGAAATATGAGAAAAGATTTAAGAAAATTAAAGATTTTAATTTCATAATAGGCTAGTTAGTTAATCACCACCTAATTCTGATGGGTGTACAAAGTTCCATACTGGGAAGGCACAGGCCACAACGAGAGGACATAAAAAGCCTGCCAAGGAAGTCCTTCAGTTCTTTATGTCCATGCAAAAGAGATAAAAACATTGCGCATTTTCCTTCTTGAAACTTTGGTGTGAAACATACAATGTCTTTTTCATGTTTTATTTTTATAATATCAAGAGACGGGACAAGCAAGTTGTGCACCTGGTGGTAAGCCACATGCCAGTTCATAACAGTTGCAGTGCCACTTAAAGCTCCCAGCAGGCACCTTGTGACTTTTATTTATTTTCAAAAATTAAGATGCAGTTACGTGGTCAACGATTTTCATCACCTGAAGGGGCTGTCGCAGAGTATGAAAAATATGTTTCAGACATTGTCACGGAGGAGTGGCATAAATGTTTTCAAAATTGGTTCATTTGTATGAAAAAGTGCATTAACGCAAACGGACAATATTTTGAGAAACAAGAAATTAATCTCTGACCATTTATAGTATTTTTTCTTATTCATTCTGGAAACTTATAGTGCGTCCCACATAATAACAGGGTTCGAAGTATGTTACACCCCATACTTGTGGGTACATGGTTTGGTACAGATGCAGAGACTGAAAAGAGGGTGTTGGCTCAGTTGAAAGATGTGACATTGTCTTAGCAAAATATAAAAAGGCATTTATACCCAAAGAAGGATACAAGGGGGATATATTCTGATTAGGTTTTTTTATTAAAAAATGTGCTCATGTAATCTTCACCTCACCTGTTGGAAAGTGATATTTGAGGTTGACAGTGTATGCACACCTAAATGATGCCTAATCACTCTCGCCTTGTAAGGCTCAAATCATAACATTCAGGGAACAAGTCTCCAGGCAGGGAATTCCACTCTGTAGCTGTTCGCCATATAAATGTGAAAGTGAAATGCATTTCGAGTTCTTAGGTTTTCGCGATTGTTACATATAGGAAATGCATTTGTTTTATTATAATAATCACATTGGAACCCCAGTCGATGTCTAGTCCCGCAATGATAGAAAGGGGAAATTCCATCGCACACTGTCCTTGACATATTCTGTAGAATATTGATAAGCAGGCAACTACATGGCAGTGTTCACCTGTACTAATACCAGTCGAAGATATACTTGAGAAAAACTAAAATTTCACATAACTTCTAGAGATCTACAGTATGGTATGGTAAAGGATAACCTATAACAATGTCGAAATTTTTTTATCCGAAATTATGTTTGTTCAAATTTTCATTAGACCAAAAACCGAATTATAATGAAACAGTTGTTCTTTCAGGATATGTTGAATGTTTATTGCAAAGACACAATTAGGTTCGGTTAGGTTAAGTTAGGTTTAATGGAAAAAACATTTTCCTCTCAAAATTACTTTTGAGGTTATGAAATTTCGACCAAACATTATTTCCGGAAAATGTCATTTCGAACTACTGGAGGAACTAGGTAATCATGGTAAAGGTAAACAGGCTGGTTAACTCTATTTAACATTATGTATATTACGTCTACAGTTCACTATTTTCGAAAAAACATAAAAATTACAAAATACTTGTGGTTGTGGGGCAGAATGAAATTTGGTCATTATGGATTTTATATATCAGCAGATTCTATATTCAAATTAAAAAAGGTATAAATCTCACCCAAAATTATGTAAATTTTTCCAGTGAAACACTTCCTTCAACGGCATATCCTTCTCATACGCGCTTATTGCAAGCAAAATAACCTCTCCATCGGACGTAGATACGGCTATTTTATTCTTTTCTGTGAACTTTATTTGCGTAACGTCATCTTCCACAGTGTACTCCGATAATGTACGAGGATACTCCACATCATCATCATCATCTTCGTGGGGTTTCTCAAATGACCAAACTTTGACAAAATTTGTGTAGTCGTCCCAACTTCCAGTTAAAAAACACTTTGTTTCAACGTAATCTTCAGGTATCCACCTGATTTTATTGATCTTCTGAGACACAAACGTTCCCTGTACGTCTAGAGACATTTTAAATCAAGATTTAAGCAATCTTTAAGGGCATAAATGTATTTTTATTTAATGCGGACAAAATAACAATCCGCTTCTTTTGTCAGTTTGAAGTTTTTTTTTTTATGAAGGCTTTGGCAAAGCCGACAGCCTAACATGAAGTTTAAATGTTTCTGTAAATATGGCCGCCACAAAGAGGATAGGCAATTTGAGGCGGCGTGCTTGGATTGACTCGGGATTCCTTAAAACGGGCCGATACGGGTATTTTAGTTCGAGATTCGTATAATTTCGCGTTTTAATCTTCGATTAAGGCACAATAGCACTATTCCACTTAAAACTAGATTTCAAAAATAGTTGAAAGTCAAAATAAAAACGACACTTTTCCCTCCAAAAGGTCCAGAAAGAATCCTCAGTTTGAAGTTAGAATTGCGTTACGTTTTACGCCATATATTTTGACATTTAAAATACAGTGAAAAAATCACTCAATGATCTCAAAAAGTAAACTCTCTTTGTGCTAAAGCTTTTCAAGCGCACATTTCTGGGTAAAAAATATAATTCTTTACACAATTATCCAATGAACCGCCGCCGCGTCGTGAATATTTAATGACAATGCTTTATTGCATAGTCGTGATTGTATATCCTCCTGCGTGTTGTCATGAAATGTATAATATTTTTCTTATCGCCTCGCCTCACCAATTTTGTTTTTAGGTCGGGTTTCAACAAAGTATTACAAAGACTAAAGAATAGTGATGAACAAGTTGAGCAACTCCCGAATATCAGTGCCTCCAGTGAAAAAGGGAATAACTCAAAATCGACACTTTTCAGGAGAGGCAAAAAACCATACTTTTATTGATTATTGGTTAGGTATTCGCATTTATTATTAGTACTTTTTATGATTTCTAGCATTGACTTACAAGTCAATGATTTCTAGCTTTCGTTTCATGGGTATTGGTAAAAAATTCAGTCATATTTTCTATATTTTTTTTAAAATTTTTTTCGAGTTGCGTCCTTGTTATTGAGTACTTAACGGTAATAACACGATTTATATTAGCAAACTTTAAGACATAAAACGACTTATTCCCTTAACTGCGACTGTTGTGTGGTTATACACTACAGTACAATATTTATGATCATTCCCCTATATAAGCAATACTCTTTGTTTATGATACTAACCACATTGATTAAAGATATAAATCGGTAAAGGAATAAAACGACAAGTTTTCTTTTGTGATCTATAAACCAATAGCAACACGGTATAGCCGCGGGTATGACCAATCGTGTCCAGTGGAACAAATGGAAAGCTCCACCTTTATGGACACTGTGGAATAAGGTAATAGTCGCTTTTAGTCCTGCTTTTTCCTCGTCATTCATTGTGGAACAATATGAAAAGATTTAGATTAGACTCCCAAAAAATGCCTGATAACTAAAATTATGCCCTTAGGAACAGTGAGTTATGCCCTCAGTGCAATAAAAAAAACGACGTTAGGAGACTGCTAGGGAGGTGTCCTTTTGATAAGTTATGTAATCGGACACGCTGAATCCAATGTTGCAATAAAAACAAAAGGGCATTACTCGTCTTATTCCGTTTTCCACTGGAGGCACTGATATTTGGTGCATCAATACCTACACTCAATGATATTATATTCCTACACTTCACTCCAAGCATACTTTGACTTCACTGAAAGCGTACGGTTGTCACTATTATTTTAGTTGTAACCTACACAGGTTGTAGTAAACATACTTTGAAAAAAAAACATAAAGTATTTATCGCAGTATTTTCGTGATAGATTGAAATAACCTTTGTCAAATGCAATACATACGTATTGAAATTTTTTTACCAGCATTGGTGTCTCGATTATGGAAGCATGGTTATGAAATAGGAATGCGTGCGAGAGTGCGTGTGTGTGTGTGTGTGAGAGAGAGAGAGAGAGCGAGCAAGTGCCTGTGAGTACAGGTATCTGCGAGAGCCTGTGAGTACATACGAGAGCTTGCGATTGCATGCGAGTATGTTCGTGTATGCGCGCATGTGTTCGTCGATAACTGTTCTGATGATTGTTATGATAGTTTTCTTTTGATTTGTTGAATCCATGATTGTATCTTACTGGTCGGCGCGAAAGAGAAGGCGTCGATTTTGATATAGGTACTGTTGTAGTCTATATAGCTATTGGTATCTAATTTCTTGGCGACCAGATGGACTAATATAGGGTCCCAAGTTTGCGTATCCACGCCAAGGTTATGTATAGCATGTACGGTTTCCATTGCAGTATCGTACAAGCGTTTTAATTCATATTATGATTGTTTTTGTAACGAGTACCTGCGAGTGCATTACCACCTTCTTGTGAGTATAGAGTTCTATGGTTACCGCTAATGCCAGCTAATCGCTGGGCCATTCAATCAATCAAAAAAATCAAATAAACAAATAAATAAAAATTATGTAATTTACCTCGCGTATTCATAGGTCATCAAGTTACTTTATCATGAACTTACTTTAACTGTAATGGTTAGTTGGGTTTTATTACTGATATGATGTTACGATAACAAATAGTCAGTGAACGACTGGGTTAAAGTTGCAATGTTATTTAACATAGAATATAGGAAATGAAACTATTTTTTCGGATTTTAGTCACGTATAGCGTGACCGACCCGTGTCCATGAGACTTGTAAAGGGCCCAAAACGTTGTTGGTTTGTTTGAGAAAACAAATATACTCCATTTAGATCCGAAAACATAGCTTCATTTCCTATGTATAACAATCACGAAACCCTAAGAATTTAGGTGCAAATCGTGTCCGCTATGTAAGATTACAATCATTGTATTGATAGTCCCTTATCTTTATTTTTTTTTAGTTGTTGAACTTGCGCAGCTGGATAGTGCGTCCAAACGATTTGTTACTAGGAGAAAAAACAGGTGTGGTGTATTATCACCAAACGTTAAATATAGTAAAATATAATTCCCAGTTCCAAGCAACAAAAATGTATAATTATTTCCCTACTCCTCTGAAAATAGTACAGAAGCTATTTTACTTAAAAAGTTTTTAAAATATGTCTTGTTGAAATAATTATTTTATAATATCGAGTTCTTAGGTTTTCGCGATTGTTACACATAGGAAATGAAACTATTTTTCCGGATTTAAATCGCGTATATTTGTTTTTTCAAACAAACCGACGTTTCGGGCCCTTTACAGGGGTGACCAACTCAGTCAACCGTGACCATGGAACAAATATACGCGATTTAAATCCGGAAAAATAGTTTCATTTCCTAATTATTTTATAAATTTGAAAAATTACTTGATAGAGTAGAAAGTGTGTGACATTGGAAAATAAAAATTGTTTAAGATATAGGTCAAAAATTAAATCATCATGGAGGGTTGTCTGTAAGATGGTTTGTTCGGCAATATGCGCTATATAGCGTTTTCATTCACCTAGATGTAGCGATGAAGATTAGTAAATGTTGCAGTTTCTGTCCAAGTCTTGCCACGGCGAAGAAAACTACTAACTACCTACGCTGGGCCGGGTCACTAGTTTAACAACAATTTTCAATGTAAATTAAATTTCAATTCAGTTCAATAATGGACGTTTTTTACGTGGTACCAATTTTTCGCGCATTGTTATTATTGGATTGGAGATCTATGGATATATTTATTGGATATCTATGGATTGGGTGCAAACATCTAATCAGTTCCCTCGTAGTTCTTGTTGGATCGACTTCAATAGACCCAACTACTAATTATGTAACATTTAAACAAAAATAAGGCATGCATTTTACAACAATCTCAATATTTTCCAATTTTTATAGGATTAAATTATAATCATAACGCAAATGTCTTCTAAATATAACGACAATATTAATCATAATTTTAACGAGTTTGAATTAATTATGGAAGACAGTTTAAAGCGGATTTTTTCAACCAAAAAAACGTAGTAATATGTGGAAAATATATTAATTTATTTAAAAGTTTTAACTTGATTAATCTTTTCTTAGAACCAACTCGCATCACTGTCTCCTCTTCGACTTGTATTGATAACATCTTTTGTAACACACACGCAGTGTCTAAATCAATAATAAAAAGCTTAAGATCAGACCATAGTGGCCAATTGGCTTCTTTTAATTGTAAAATGAGCAAGAAGGTAGACCAATTTTTCTGCAGACCGATTACCACAGAACGAATCATTAGATTTCAAAATAATATCGGCAATAGTTTAAATTCGCTACCCCATATACCGGACGTTCCAAATACTTTATATAGCACGATATTTGGTTTAATTAAAAATGAATTTGATAATATATTTAAATCGAAAACATTAACTTTCCATACAGAGACTAAATTCAACGACTGGGTAACAATAGGTATTCTTAAGAGTAGGTCTCGTTTGTATGAGCTATATGCTATGAAAATTTATAATACTAATTCCAATTTCATAGAATATGTTAGAATTTATTCAAAAATATTTAAAAAAGCATATGTAGCTGCTAAGGTTAAACAAAATTAGACAATCGGTAAATAAATCTAAAACTACTTGGAGCATAATAAATAAAGAGTCAGGCAGGGTTAAACAACACGATCGAGCCATGGTTTTAGAATTAGACAGCAAACTTATAAAATCTAAAGATAAAGTAGCCCAAGCTTTTGAATCGTTCTTTTCGGAAATTGCTGTGAACACTACAGAATTATTAAATTCCTCCCCTTCACTTGCTATCGATCTTCTAAAAGAAAAAGTTAACGTTTGTGGCAGTTTATTTAATTTCTGTCATGTTAATCCACAAGATATCATAAAAGCTTTTAAATCAATACATGTTAAAAAAACTGAAGATCTCTGGGGCATATCAACTAAAGTTACAGACTCAGTTATTGATCTAATTTCCCCACAATTAGCTATAGCTTTCAAAAGGTGCGTTGACGAAGGTGTTTTTCCCGATTTAATGAAATACAGCAAGGTTATTCCCTTATTCAAAAGCGGTAGGAAAGTTGATCCTAGCAACTATAGGCCCATTTCAATTTTACCAGCTTTAAGTAAAATATTCGAAAAGGTTATGCTAACTCAATTACTGTCGTATTTCGGTAGGAATCATATTTTTTATAGTGAACAATACGGGTTTACTAGTGGTAGATCGACTAGCGATGCGGGGGTAGCGTTACTAAAACACATCTTTGATGCTTGGGAAAGGTCCCAGAACGCTATTGGTGTTTTCTATGACCTCTCAAAGGCATTTGATTACGTTGATCATATTACTCTTATCAGGAAGCTGGAACATTACGGTGTAAATGGCAAGGCGTCGAAACTTGTCTCGTCATATCTCAATGGTAGAATTCAGAAAGTAGACATAAATGGAGTGACTTTGGGTTCTCCGGTAAAAATAGGTGTTCCGCAGGGCTCAATACTTGGACCTTTCTTATTTCTGATTTATATTAACGATCTGCCACTCTTTGTTAAGGACCATTGCGAAATAGTGTTGTTTGCTGATGACACATCCTTGATTTTTAAAATAGAGAGACATGACATTAACTATGACCATATTAATGATACTCTCTCTAAGGTAGTTTATTGGTTTAATGCTAACAATTTATTGCTTTATGCCAAGAAGACAAAATGTGTTAAATTTGAATTACCTAACGTAAAATCGACTAGTGCAAGCATAGAAATAAACGGAGAAAAGTTAGACCTTGTTAATAAAGCAGTCTTCTTGGGAGTGACCTTAGATAGTAAACTTCAATGGTTTCCACATATATCTTTCCTGGCCAGAAGATTAAGCTCCGCTGCATAATACGCAGTCCACAGAATACCTGAGCTTACCGATGTTAGTACTGCTAGACTAGTTTACTTTAGTTACTTCCATAGTCCTACGGGATTCTCACGTGGGGTAAAGCGGCAGATATTTAAACCATATTCGTATTGCAAAAACGAGCGATTCGTTCTGTGTACCGTCTAGGCTCTCGGGTTTCCCTCAGAGAAAAGTTTAAGGAGACTGGTATCATGACTCTGGCATCACAGTACATTTACTCAAATATTTTATATGCCCGTAAAAATATACATAATTTCAATAAGAAAGAAGATATCCATAATATTAACCTTAGAGCTAAGTCCAAACTCATGGTACCACGATTTCGTTTAACGAAGGTAAACAACTCTTTTATGGGGAACTGCATACGTTTTTTACAATAAGATTCCGAAGCATATATTAAGTTTATCATTTCCTACGTTTAAAAACTACATTAAAAATATTTTGGTTGAAAAATCATATTTCAAAATTGAAGACTACGTGTTAGATAAAGAGGTATGGAAAGACGACACGCAACAGGGAGGTCAGCGTAGTGAACGAGCAGGAGCTTAAATGTGACGTTTTCAAGTGTAAATTTATTTTACCTATGATGGAATGAATAATCTTTGACTTTGACATTGTTGTTAAGTTGTTAAATTGTATTGGTCAAAGAAAAGTTTCATAAATTATTCATAAACTTGGAGTTATTAGTCTCGATTCTCGAAATAATGGGCGGCTAATTTCGGACTGTTACCATGGTCATGGCCGTACGTTATTTACGTTAGTTATTGACTCAGCATGGCCATTATCTTGATAATGTTGCGCAATATACTATAACACGTCTGTTCGTGTTTGTGAGTGTTGTTAAATTTAAATATACTGAGATAACACGTGTAATATAAAAGGCTAGTGTGTAAAGGCGCGAGAAGCATTTCTGTATTATCACCTTGTTGCATCGTAGCTCTTCCCTATAAGACATGGACCGACGAGATATACTAATGCCGGCTGAATCCGGAGAGTACATCGCCAGACACGCTGAACATGTGAAAATTCACGAGGAGGGGCTTGAGAAACTTTGTGAAGTAGTAAGTAAATAAAGACTTTTGATCAAAAACTTGATAGTAAACTTCTTTGGATTATTTTCTCCTACAAATATACTGAAATGTGATAACAGCTGTTTATATTAGAGGTTAAAATTCAACTGTTTTAGCGCCAAAACACATATTGGCTACTTACTTACTTACTTATTACTTGCTATAACGTTTTGTCGATTACTTATACGGGTTCCACCAAATAAACGAGTATTATGAAAACAGTCAACTTTACAGGAAAAAATTATGTAAAAACATTTGCACATTTTTGTTCAGGGTACTTCATTACATCATCTAGAAAACAATAAGTACGTAGATGTAGATATAAGTTACTAGTGTGTAGGAGGAAGGCACAGCCTCAACCAGAGGTAATTAAATGGTCAGAGCCAGGAAAGTCCTTTAGTTTTTTGATGCTGTTGGCCTTGTGATTAGTGGTGATCAGATGAGGGGCCGTATAAGCCCTGAATGAAGGCACTTTTTATAATAGTAATAACAATAATAATAATATTGGTGTCAATAAAGTCGTAACTTATTATTGTACAAAGTTATAAGTTTTTCCGGATTTTTTTCCTTACATATCACAATGTTCGTATCACTACGGCGTTTTATTTTGTTTACAGTGATTATATATTCCATGAACATTTTTCAGATGCTGTCATCAATGACAGACAAACTTCAGGTCCCAGATTCAGGCACATATATCAACCGTCCCTCCAATGACGATCCAAGAGCTGTCGACTGGGTGTTTTTTGCTGATGCTCTCAATTTTTGCTTCTGGACCAAGCAGGGAGACCCCAAATACATTGTAGATGGAGAGACTGGTTATTATGCTTTAGAAGCTGCTATGGCAAGGGCTTTGAAGGTAGGCATTTGGGACATTATTTATTTTTATTTATTTATTTATTTATTTCATAAAATTACACAGTATAACAGTAAATTACTAAGGCACTGTGAAATTCATACAACATAAAATTATTTTTAGATCGTAGATGATAGTCGTTCATCCATCATCTCACAAAACTTCAAACATTCATCACGCACAGTCACCCATCTACTTGCGAACACATCACATTCTGGTGCAGATACGAGAAGCACATTAAAACAGTGCAGAGCGCGAACTAGTGGCGATTTACTGTGTGCCACAGTGCGCAATGCCGGCTCTGCCAGAAGATGGTGACCACGTGGACGCAGATTAAATTTATTTAGCGGGGGGACAAACAAGCGCACCAGTTGTGCCACTAATTCAGGGCAATCAGAATCTCCGCGCAGGATCCTACCAGTAATGGCCATCAGACTAAAATTACGTCTTACTACCAAAGAATTAAAACCCAAGACATAATCTCTTAAGAGTGTACACAACCTTAAATGGTTTTGGTTGATGCCACATAACAGTGAAACTGTTGAATAACAAAAAAACAGTAAAATTGAGGGTAAACATTGATTACTATACTGTGTGAAAATAAGATTCCTAAAAGTTTTTACAATAGAAAAAAAACACAAACTTACGTCGAATTTTTGCAAGAAAACCACTATATTCAATAGGACTTTACATATACCAATGACTTTTTTTAATATCAACAACATGTATACTATATGCATTGACTTACAAATAAATGGACGACGGGTCTAATACAAAAACCACGAAAAAAATGTCGCAAGTAAGCCTATTTAAACGTAGTGACATGTAAAGGAATATGAAAAAGCTAAAACGTTGAATTTAAATTGTAATGTCATCGCAGTACTGTCTAATTTTGCTTGCTTCGCTGTCAGTCGAACAAACGAAGACTAAAGCGTGAATGACGCTCTGTATACGATTTTAACGCCCTATAAGTTCGGACACTTTTTAGCGCGGACCCGACGTCCATATAATTGTACGTCAATGACTATATGATATACATTTTTCAAATGGCTCTCATTTCGTTTGAAAAACAAAAAATTCTGAAACAAAGACAGTGTCCGTGCCGTTCCACCCAAGCAAAGTGAACTATATTACAATAGTAGGGGAAAGTTTTGAGTTTGAGCTAAGGTAGTATTGACTCTTGAAATAGATTTTATAAAGAAATCTGACCTAAAGCAATTTTTAGAACTTTGCTTTGGAAATTGATTTTTGGTGGTGTTTTCAAAACATCAATTCAAATAGTACTTACAGGTAATTTGTAAATTTATGGAGCTTATTTTCCGAAGTAAATTTTTAAAAGACAAGATAAGTATTTGAGCAGATATAATAAGATATAGTTTATTAACTTCTGCTTTTATAAGTTATCATTTGACATCTTACTTGATTATATCTTTTGTTTTTTCTTATTTATTTATTTTTAGGACAACCAATAAGACATGATTTAAATATAACAAAGTTGAAATAGTGATATAGAGACATACTAAATTCTGCCTCAATTAAAGGTTGCCATGGCATGCAAATGTGGACACGATAGAATAACTAGTTGATCCAATGAAATTTAAAAAAAGAATAACGCAAAATAAACCATTAAGACAATTAATACAATATTATTATTAAAAAAAAGTTACTATTGAAAACAAGATAATCTAATTAAAAAGATTTTAAATATATAATAGTATATACATATATTAATTAAAAATACACATTAATAAATTTTATGTGAAACTACATTGACGCAGATGTGAGAGCGGCCTTGATTGTGTGCTTAAATCGCGCAGGACTATTCGAAAAAATGTCGACGACACAGTCACCCGGCTTATGAAGGATGTTATATAGTTTTGGTAGTCGATTCATTTGTCATGAATAATTGGTATATTTGGGTAAAATATTACCTTAAATTAATTTCTAAAACTCAATAATGTTACTGCATAAGATAAATGATTTTGGGCTACCAATGACTAGTGGCAGTAGAACTTCTTGTGAAAGAGTTCATCCAGGGAAGTGCCACCTTACCTATTTCTGCCGCCATGCAGTAATGTGAGCATCACTGTATTCCGGTTTTAAAGGGTAGGGGTGCTGGTGAAACTACAGGCGCTTACTACCTCACGTCTTGTTCGTCCCGGCATTTGGTATTATATATAAAAAAAAACCACTATCTTCGTGATAAATTTGCAATGTTGTACGTACATCCAATAGTTACAAAGAATATTATCTGTGATAAACAGATGTAATTATTGTTTACAAATTTTGTATAAAACACAAACAAGTATGAACATGCATTCACACGCAGGGGTTTTGAGATATGATATAACTATTGCACATCTCATTTGAACATTTAATGTGTAATTGAATTTACATAACAGATAAGTAAATGAGATTGGTTTTGTTGTAATGTGTTTGTTTTTGGAATAAATTCCATGGCATTTTTTTATCATGAACATATTGTTAGACCGTTTTTAAAATTTTATTATAAACTTATATTCAATTTTTAAATTATATAATTTCGTATATATTACTATGTTATCAACTGATATAATATGGGTTTAGATAGTACGCAATGACCTGGATTTCCAGTGAAGTTGATAATTTGTTTTATCTAATCTATCTTTGTATGTGTCATAAACAATGCAAGTTCTATAATTACAATTCTTTATCACTTACAGGAAGGCTACGACCTTCTAAACCCGGAATACTACTCGAAAATAACAAAAGAAGATCTGGCTCATATCTTAAGAAGTGATAGTGAAGTACCAATTCCACTATTCGAACAGAGATTGACTATTTTACATGATGTTGGAAAAACATTGATTGAAAAATACAATGGAACGTTTATGACTTGCGTGAAGCTTGCGAATAAATCTGCACTTAAACTACTTAAGATCATAGTGGAGGATTTCCCGTGCTTTAGAGACGAAGTTGTATACAAAGGGAAGTTTGTATCCTTGTATAAAAGAGCACAGATTCTTATTGGTGATCTTTGGTATTTCTTCGATGGCAAAAGTTGGGGAGAGTTTGAAGATATTGATAAGATTACCTTGTATGCTGATTATAGAATCCCTCAAGTGTTGGTTTACTTCGGAGCTATGAGCTATAGCGACGGTTTGATGAAGAAATTGCAAAACGGTAAGATATATACATAATTATCTCTGCCACAAGGCGAATGCAACTCCTGTTCATCTACTCACCCAATGCTACGCCCTGATGGGCGTACGAAGTTCCGTACTGGGAAGGCACATGCCACAACCAGAGGACATGAAATCTGTTGAAGCCAGGAAAGTCCTTCAGTTCGTCAATGCTGTCAGTCTTGGCTCTGCACTGTATTAGTGGTGATCACAAAAGATCAGTCAGTGGTCGCAGTGATGAGGGGATGCATAGACCATGAATGAAGCCACCCTAATAATAATAATACATAATTGTACTCGTAAATGTATACATTTAATTTAAATCTCAATTGGAGAGTTGTCTTTAGAGTTAGAGTGTCAGATTAAGGGAGAGCGATAACTTTCAATATGACAAATGGACAAAATGATAACCTCCATGGACCAACAATCCAGATGAGGAGGTCTGAGTTCGATTTTCGGTAGACATTGGGAAAACAGCCTTTAAAACGATGACAGTTATATAATATAATATATAATATAATAATATATATATATAGTATAACATGCGACCAAAGTAAACAGTACTATAGTAATACGACGTATGAAACTCACTACTAAATATTGTATTTGACTGGTTAACCAAGTGACAGCTGAAGTTTGTTTACATTTAGTTAATTTTATACCTAGACCATGCCTAAACCTTAATACCATAGATTTATGGAGGAATTAGGGCAGATTCTTTGATCTTACTTGATTTATCCAGATTGTTATCTAGTACATTTAGAAAGAAACCTTATTAAGTAAAAGAAAAAACTTATTGTTGTAAAATTGTAATGTTTAACATTCACAGATGAGCACCTGCCAAGTGGTTCAGATGAAGAGATCGAGATCCGCGGCTGTTCCATCCACGCAGTCGAGCTGCTGCAAAAGAAATTGAAACAGAAAATCGTCGAGCAAAAGTTAAAAGCGGAAGTTCCCAACGCAAGTCTCATAGATTACTTTTTGTGGTGCTATAGGAGGAAATATGCCGACGAATTGGCAAAGGTCCCCTTCCATAAGACCGTGGGCATATTTTATTGAACTATAAAAACCCTATAACGTACAAAATTGCATTTGACAAGCTTATGCAGAACATTATAATGTCTTTTTCGAAGATGAGTAAAATGACAGTTTATTGCGCAAAAGTGTTGCCCGTTTGCAAGCAGCTAGTCATTGCAGTCGATAAATATTCTATCGAATATCGATTACATGTTATGTAATCGATTATATGTATGTAAATAGCCGAACTTGTTTCATTTGAATTTTTGTATATTCATACATGCACTGCGTTTAAAACTATGTCTATTTAAAATATTAGTGGAGACATATTTTAAAGTTTTTCATTTTAATTCAATGTAGGTGAATTTAATTCTTGTTAAAGTGTGTATGAATTACAAATCGATTTAGATTTTGTAGACCGACTGCCAAAATTAGAATAAAGAACAGATATTTAAAAAAAATTACGTTCTTTCACAATCTATTGATTAAACTGTCGACAACAACTACATGGTTAAATAAAAATTTTATGAAAACTGGCTTCCTTGGAAATATCATTTTACTCCGTCTTCAATATAATAAATATGTAATAATTATTACACGCATTCAAACTTACACTTCCTTGCGTATTTTAAAAATAAATTTAGTTTACACAATTTATAACTTGTACTTTTTACGAATTATTATAGTATAATCTATTTGTTCCTTGGTATATAATTCTACATAAATGACATACAAAGTTAATTGTCATTGACATTTATATATAAAAATATTATCCAAATGTTATTAAAATATTGTTGTCTGTTGCTGTTAGGCATTGTGATAATTATGAAGGTGATATTGACTACTATACGACTTAAACTTTATAGCTAAGTTTAGATTAGAGAAGACTTTACCGTAGTTTTTATAACATATGCTATAGCTCAAAATACTGTATAACACAGGGTGTAGTACAGGTTTCAATACGTAAGTTAACCCCTTCATGGACAGTATTTAAGTAGTACAACCACATACCAAAATGTCACTACTTTTTTTCGTGCCGTACTGGTTATATTTTATTTATTTTTATATATGTATATACGTTTACCATGGCGCAGGTGAAAGGTGTTGGTGGTCACAACTACTCCATGGTAGTTTGGTGAAGGATGATAAACGAGTCGTGGGTTGGTAAATGAGTGTATATGAACTGTTAATAACTGAATATATTTTGCTTGAGCTACTTATTTATACAAATTTGGTACGTGTGTCTTATGCTGATTCACAAGGCGTGGTTGTTACTTTTGCTTGCACTAAGACGTGCCTGAATGTCGGAAGAGGGTTAGACATTCTGGCACGTCTGTGGCTGCTACAATACGTAATAAAATAATGAAAGACTAAGTATTTATTTATACGTGGGCGTCCCATAGCCGACCTCGGAATCTACGTCAATACAACTAATGTATGTACAATGCGGCTATCAGTTTGGCACTTTAAAACAGCACAATAAGGTATTTTTCTACGATTTTAAAAATGTGCGTGAAAGATTTGACACAAGTATAACGTACAAAGCGAAAATGGCGGACCGAGCTCAAGTAGGCGGAACTACGCCTACAGTTGGCACGCGTGTTGCGCTAACCACTTCTACTGTATTATAGGTCTATTGGTACACCAGATGTCGACATGAGTACCAAATAGCTATTTTTGTAAGTAATTTGTTTTACATTGACAAGCTACAATATATCATAGCCACTCTAATTTGTAGTGAAAACAAACAAATCAACTAGATGGCGCTTATCTTTTATTTTGTTTAGGATTAGCATCGTCTATCTATATTAGGAAGCGTTAATTTATGAATTAGTTTGTAACACGCAGTTTGTAACTAAGTTCAGAAAATAATTTAGTTCATGATCAATATTTGAATAATACTACAGGATAAAAAAACGACTTTTTATATTTCGATAAAGCACTTTGAAATCGTACTGTAAAGCCCGTAGTTGTTATTTTGAGATCCATATCATAACGTATTCTAATATTTAATTTTTCGGTAAACATTGTTATTGTCCATGAAAGGGTTAAGTTAGCTCCTATGTGTAACTATGTTAAAATCAATGCCATTGTATATTTATTACCTCAAAAGAAATAATTCCTTAAGTGCAAACTGTTAGTAAATAAAGTTTAAATAAAACTAAAGTACGTATTGTATAAATATAATTTTAATTATATATTACACCTTACAAAAATTACGCCAGGATATCACATACCAGGTTAGTGTTGGGTTCCAAACACCTTATAGAGTTACAATACATCTTATAAAAATCCTATGGTCTACGTAGAAGATTGAATGAATAACTATTCGTCGCTCACAGGACTTTATATATAGTTAAAAAAAAACAATCGCTGAGATAACTTGATATAACCATGGACCATGATATGACAGATTCATTTGATTGTCAAAGGGCAGTTTCTATTTTGTTTGGGTCATTGAACTGAAAGCTATAAATCGTCAATTTGACCATATCACTTAATATTTATTCATAATACATATTCCCTTGAAAAGAATGTATTTGTAAATGGATATGGGTTCATTATATAGAGGCATAGTATTTAGATATTTTGACTGGGTGCTAACATTAAGGAATAGATATTCATAATTTTCAATATAAGTAGATAAATTAAGTTCTACAGGAGCCTGACTAAATTCCTGCACCGATGAAAAAAGTTATTTCTCCATTACACGTCTTACGACAATAGTTTCGATTGTATTACGCACATTTCTAAATTTACGTATCTATATTTATAATATACAAGTACACCAGGTACCCTAAATGACCATTGATAATGGTGATAATTATTGATGATAATTAATGCGATAATTATCTTGATAAATATATCTTGATATTTATAAAATTAATTGGAACAAAGTGCTATTGCTAGCAATATAGTGGCATGTGTTAGACATACCCAAACCGTCAATTGTCAATCTAAAAAAAAAATCACAAACCAAACCGTTTTTCCAAAGATGTGGTTTCGTGTTGACTTAGTTTTCTCATTGTTTGTCATTTTAGCCAAAAATTAGAGCCCAAACTATATATCAGCATGGATAATTATCAGATATCCATAAAATAATTTTATTATCATGATAAATTATCAAGGAAAATAAATATCTCATTATTTTGAACCCTGTTTACAGTGACAGTTGTTGCTAGAGACGGCGGCGTCACTTTGTAAACAAAATGTTACTTCTCTTGACTGCTAGCGGCGCTGTACAATTTGCCATACAACATTTAAGTATTTTGTGCGATCGCTAGTACTGTCATTGTAAATTAATAGTATGTAGATCTACAGGGTCGACGAACACCTTAATCAATTTCCAACGATGTATAAAAGTACTACCACCTTTAAACAAATATTAATAACAGAGTTTTAAACGTGGAAAATGTACATTTTTCTTAAAAAACATTACAGTTAAACCTTTGTTATCGTTGTAGATTCAGAAATGTGCCTATCCAATCGTCATTAATATGACTAACAAAATTACTAGAAAAATCTAAATTATTATGGACACAACCACTAATGGGATTACCCAATTTATTTACAACTTTGGCATTAGCTAAAGAAATACATGTAAGGTTTTTTAAATGGCACTATATATTTACAATTTCGTATGTATACATGCTATGCACATAATTTACTATAGCGACAGTTGTGAATAATAATAATACATAATATAATGTGTATATATGAAACTAAATATGGTATTCGGTCATTTTACTTATTTATCTATAAATCATACGTAACCAGAAAAGTAAGAAAGGCACTCATTTAAGTATGTATTTAGTAGCAGTAGAGCTTCTTGTGAAACTGCCCCCAAGCAGTAATGTCAGCATTACTGCGTTTTGAAGGGCAAGGATGATGGTGAACTAAATGTACATGGGATTTGTCAACTTTACTTTGTCTATAGCGCTTCATTAATTTTTAGTTGACGATGACGAGTGTACTGGCAATGCCTTTTTAATATTTGCGATTTAAGGCTCTGAGTGGCACTCCACTGTTATGGGTATTGCTTACCATCAGACGCACGACTTGTTCGTCCCGTCATTTGATAAATCATAAAAAAATATGATCATCTACATGTAAATAAACTTTAATGTCAATAAAAAAAAATCACTCCGGTGTGGTAATAACATCCTGTGTAATTAGAAGAACTTTATTATGTAATTAGGTATAACGTGAATCAGTTACTATTGTAAATTATTCAGAATTGGGATTTAATTAATAGGTGTTGATTAGTTACCTTACTTTTCTGGTTAGGCCATTACTCAAGTACATCACTACATCAAAGAAAGAACCCTACAACTACTTCACTTGTTTACATGAATTTAAACAAGTTGTAGTCCACTACCGCACGATTATATTACAAAGTTAGTACGCAATGAACAGAAAATCATGCTGACATTATCGTTAGTGAAAAAATAATCAGAAAATAATAATCAGAGAATAAAGACTTAAATTTTGTTACATTTCTTCTTCGCAGGAAGCTTTGAGTACCTATCGCAAGTTTACGCTAACAGTTGTCGCTAGCGACCGTGTAAAATATTTGTATACAAAGTTAATTATTTTTGTGATTGCCAGGGGCGCAGGCGCGGTAGAATTTATCGTACAATATTATGAAGTATTTTACGCGGTCGCTAATGACATCTGTTGCTGTAAATTATGGCTGATAGGACCCGGAAATTACACTATATTTTCTTATTGGCACACTCGTCATTTTCAAAGATTTCTGAAGAAAAAATCTTCATTGGGTATTCTACAAAGGGACTATTCGAACTTGCACAAAAGAATACAACGAAAATCAGTAATCCGTTATTCTTTGAAAGTCTGTACAATGTTATTTATATAGTTTTTTCGATATCATATTTCACATTACCTCGATTCGACTCGCTGCCTAGGAAGAAAAAATGGATATATTAGGTAACATGGTGATGTTAATATACAGAAACCTCTTACTCAGCTTAGTGGAGCAGACGACACATCTATCTATATACAATTATTATTTAGAGTTAAATTTTGATTTCAAACTCTCAAAGAACGCTAGCCTATTTTTGATTGTACCAGGTTCGGGTACAGGGCTACCAGGGCGACTAGATTCTTTTGTTATCTCTTCAGTACCTTCAGGTATCTCTTTCGAACCTCCAGGAACGGTTAGGGGAGTGGCCATGGATAGCTTCAGTTCTTCTCTAAATTGTTTCGAAATACTTCTAGCCGTAATACTGTGAGCATAGAGTTTGGAATCTGTCTTTGTATCGTTTAAAGTGTCCTTGCTTTTCCGTCTCCAGTATTGATGGGGTGACTGCAAAGAAATATAACGGTAGGTTTCTATTAGATTAGAACCGAAAAAACAATGAACATATAATAAGAATTACTTTAACCTAATTCGTGAATCAGGTACACTACAACATTTTTATATATGATACCGATTTATTTAATCTTTGCAATAACATACGTTATCTTAAAACAGATTACCGTCAATGACTAAAATGCACCGGCTCAGTTATACAATTCAAAATATAAAAGTAAATACGTACCATTGTTGGCTCATTTAGGTCCTCCATGCTAACAAACTTTTTCGCTAATTCCTTTACTTTAGGCAGCTGTGGTAGTATGTCTTCAATTTCGCTCAGATTATCTTTTTCTTCTTTTAGACTGTCCAAATTGTCCACTATCACTAGTGATTCGTCCACGACGCTGTCGGTACTGATTGGGCTCACTCTATTTTCCAAGATGTTCTTATCTATCAAATCATTATCATTTCCATCAACTACATCACAGTTCACTGATATCTTATCTTTATTATCGGTTTTGCTTTTCACTATCTCCCCAGACGGCACATTGTATATTTTAATTGAATCATCCATACTGCTTGAACTTATGTAAGAGGTGTCCATGCTGAGATTTGTTGGCGATTTAAGTTCATCTTTAATTGAAGTTTCCGTGTGGTACGCTGTTTGTAATATTTCCTCAAATTTATTGTCTGTATCATCATCAACAAAAGCAGGTTTGGCAGCAAATAGCGTTTGTTCGGTGATATCGTCGTATTCAATTAAAATCTCAGTTTTATTGTTAGGCAGCGTTGTTATTGACTCGTGTGTCTCGTTTGGAAAACTCGTGTACTGCCGATTTGAGGCAATCGTGTTGAATTGCTTTATTAGTAATCCCTGCAATATAATAACTACATTTTATATCACTAAGCAGTTAATGATTGGTATTATTAATAAAGGCAGATTAATGTATAATATGTTCGCGCAAAAATATCTAGAAGCCCATTCCATGCTAACGTGTATTAACGCAGTGCTCGATGATTGGGATAACGCGTGCGTTAAGACAAAATCGATTGTGAATTTGCCAACAAAATAAACAAATTAAGACGATCATTCGTGCTTAGCTGATAGTACGTGTGTTGAATAATATTTTCAATACGACATCGCTGGATTTTTGAAAGCCAGTGTGAGGGATGCTTTTAAAGGCAACGTTAGTAATGGGAAAATAAAGTAGAATTTGATTTAGTGTTAAGCCGTCAACCCAAGTTGTTAGTAATAATTTCGTTCACCAAAATCTTGCAACACTCACCACTAACTTCTTGAGGATTACTGTAGTAAAAGTACTGAAAATTTTATTAAGAAGGACACAAATCTATAAGTGCATTACTAGAGAATTAGGTACTCTCGTTACGGTGCAAGTGCTGTTAGTCAGCTCATTTTCAAAACATGCCAACTTTTACACACAACAGGTACAAATACTGTGTGTAAAACGAAGATATTTTAGATTTACGATGTACTTAGTTAATAGAAAGTTCTTTCACCATAGATTTTATGGTAGGTAGTAGTCATAACGTCTAATTTAACCTATATTTCCCTATAAACGATTTTGTTAACTAGCTATGTTCGTATCGTACATAGTAGAGATTCTGATTGTTAGCTGTAAATTTTCGTTAGGGTAGGGGTGCTCTGTATAGGTATTAATTGAGCTATGGAAGCTGGTTATTCACCATAAATCACTTTGGAAGCCTTTGCTTAAGCGCAAGCTTCCACCGAAAGTATAATTTAGGCCTGATCGTTTCTTGGAGCGAAGGCACAGATCCTCGCTCCGCAGTGTGTTGCTTCGCCTAACTTTCGTGTAACTTTCGAATAAGTCTTCAGTAATCTCGGGTTTATTCGGTATTTTGAGTCTAACTATATCCTCGTTTTCCACATAACCGTCACCTTCGCACATGGTTTTAATTTTTCTTACGTTGGCTTTGTTTCGACTAACGTTTTCGTCTGTCGCATGATTTTCGTCAGCTATATCGTTTCGTTTGTCGGGGTTTTCGAATATGGGATTTATTGCAAAGTTGGGGCTTGCGTTTCTCGGGCTGAGGACAGCACGAACGATGTTTTGATGAAGGGCGGAAGCCTCGAGGTCACTCAATGAGCTGCTGGCACTTACAGGCGAAGTGTACTCTGTATCAAAATTGTCTAAACTGGTCGACTTGTTCATCGAGGACAGGGAACTCGTCTCGCTATTGCTCTTCTTACGACCCCCGGACGAGGCTTTAGCTTCTCTTATGTAATAATCCCTGCCGTAGCTGTAAAGTGTAAAATTTTCAATAGTATACCTTAAATCATATAAATAAAAGCTTTAGGATTTGATGTACGTCAATAAGTTCTTACCGTTTGTACTGTGGTACTTCATCAGCCAAAACGTCTTTTAAAATCCGTGGTGAAGGACTTTTACTAGTTCCATTCATATTTGCACTATCCATATTGTTGGTCAATGAGGGAACACATTCTGTTTTTTCTTCATTTTTGTTTTTTTTACCTCTCCTCTCCAGTATATCCTCAGATTTGATGCTTAGGTCATCGTCTACATCTTTGCTAGTGGTAATCATGTCGAAAAGAGATGATGCACTTTTTGCTGTTAGCCTTCTCTGTATGGCTTCAGGAGAGTAAGGATTGTTAGGCATTTCAACGGCGTTTTCCCATTTCTTACGTTCCCTGTAAGCTACTGTACCTAAAATAGTATTTGTCATGTAAATTCATGTACTTAGAAATTGACATTGATTGATGTATTGAATCTGATTAAAATATGGTCTATATTTTCAATAATAACTCTTAATTAAACGTGATGAGACTTTTCTACTTGCTAATGTAAATACCTGGTATCAGATCCTCTTCTTTGTCCGTGTCTCTAGTAGGTATCCTGAAAATATATCATAGATGTATGTACGTTTTATTTCTGTGTCACTACCACAAAATTATTTAAAAAGAAGCAAACGCAGCAAACAAACCAACTTACTGTTGTGGTTCATCGTCAAAGTGTTTTCTTCTTAAACTATCAGCGTATCTTTGCACTGGCACCGTCACTGCTTCTTCGTACTCTCCCTCGCGTTCGTGCCGGCTGAGTGTGCTTATAGACCCTACAATAATGTAAATTTTGTCTTCAATCTATTTATCCGTAAAATTTCCAACGATATCAATATGTCTCTTAAGACCTTTCTAATTAAAACTCTGTTCAAAAGTTTATTAGTTCCCTAAAACTAAAACTCCTAAGTCTTACTAGCACAGTAGAACCCCTTGTGTAGATAATTTTATTAAATTATCTAATCATTGTCATGATAAAATTAGCTACCGTAATTTACCGTAATTATCGGTTCTTTACATGAAGTCGACGATTAGATTGCTAGAGCAGTCATATTGCAAGTAATTTGCACTATTTCTGTTTATTTCATTATCAGACATATGTTCGTAGTATAATTGCGTCAAAATCTTACCTTTATTAACTGGAACGCTATCCACTTCATCTTTATCATGCCCATTCAAATGGCCATTAATTTCAGGGACAATATCTTCTACGTTACCATTAAATAACGTCCTGTGTATCTCTTCTTTTAAAGCGAACTCAGCCTTCGTCAACGGACCACTCTCTATATCCAAGACTAACACTGACTCATTTACGTTTTCCAGACTATCGAAATTATTTTCAATCTTTTCAGCGATTTCATTGTTGACAGCTTCTACTGTTTCCTCTTTTTTAATGTCATTTTGAAGGATAGTCAAACTATCAGGTTCGTAGTCCAGCAGATTTTCTATTTTAGGCTTGCCTCCTATTACGTGTCTCGAATCTAGAACCCTCTTAACATCACTTTTGTATTCAGCTTCTCCATCCCCATCACTAGCATTGTCTGAAAGATCTGTGGTGTCATCAGCATCTCTATCACCAATCAGCACACGGTATTCAGTGTTCGAGTTTGGCACGAGCATAGGTACGGGAACGGATTGGAGGCTTTTTATTTTCTTTTTCTGGAAAAGCCAGTTTTCTTCCCATGTACCATCAACTGCTTGGATGTCGCTGCAGGATACTTCGTCGAATTCGCGATCGGCGTTATCTAGAATCATTTGCATATTTAAAATGATTAATATGGAAAATGACAATTATAGCGTATCAACCCCATCTAATGCGCTGGAAGCGTATTCGCAAGCGTCCGACCCGATATCGCGACGACCACCAATCACAAATTTTTAAATTTAAATTTAATTAAACTAAATTTTCGAATGTAGATGGCGCTTCTCGCCATCGATCCTGTTTGGACTATTTGAACAAAAATATGGTAATAACTAAACAGCAACTATCATCTTAAACGTGATTAGAGACTCGCACCCCCGCGCGCCCCAGTTAGTACTAGAGAGTCCGTCATTAACGTTGATTCGAGTTAGATAGTCTTCTCTGCTGTATTAGTGCCTGTTTTAAGTATCTACTTAAGACGTAGTTTCTGTGAATGTGTCGGTGTTCGGTTTTAAACAATACTTAAATACCCACAGTCATCGAGTATATAACCAGAAATAGAGACGACATGTCATTTAATTTCTTTGAAAACTATTCTGCCAAACATTGCGGACAACTGCGCTCTTGACCAGCCCGAATTCGAAACAATTGACGGGTGTCGTCAATTGTTTCGCTTCAAATCGACCAGTAAAACTTGAGCTTTGTTATAATGACGAAAATTGAAAAATCACATATTTAATTACCGACGTAATGTGATTCCGTTTGTTTTGCAATTAGATGTTTTGCTGTTTTTCCCACAAAAAGCGTATGGAACAGTCCCCCATTGTTAGAGATATTATCTTTATTACAATAAATACAGATTATTTTTGGAATATACGGATACGTACACACAGGTCAGTTATTGGCACTGTACTGTTTCAGCTTTCTAATTTGTGATTTCAGCGCAAACAAGAGTTGATATAAGGGCCATTCTTTGCCTGATGAGTTTCCAGGGATGGATGGCCCTTATCTCGTCTCTATTTCTGGTTATATACTCGATGTCCACAGTGCTCGACAGACTTATTTTATTTTGCCTGGTCATGCGATTATAAAATTCAATGCCTATAATTGTCACTAAAATAGAATAGAAATAAGAAATCATTCGTAAATGACTATCTGGTTTAGGCATGTGTTGTATTAATGACTGATTAGGAATGATTTATATCACATTATTACAATTGCAAAAAAACAATGTCAGTGTCAGTAATTTACATAATAATAATTGTTTTGTAATCATAATTATTCAAAAACAAACATAAAGCAAAACCAAAAATGAAGTATCAAATAACTGCCTCGGTGGCCGAACGGTGACCATGCCGGACTGCCACGCAGAGGTCCCTGGTTCGATTACTGATCCAGGAGAATTATTTGTATGGCCTACATTTAATAAGGGCGGGTTTAGCTAGTGCGAGGCTAGGTTGAGTGTGTGCATTATTAAAGACACTTTTTCTTTGAAATAAATATAAGAAGAAATAAGGTATTGTAAAACCGATTAAAGGGGTTGTAGATCACGCTGTAGTTTCGCGGTTCCCAGATTTGTTAATTATGATAAAAAGAGCAGTATAGATCAAGCTCTAAAGTGCTAATATTTTTACTGTATTCCAATTTACAAACATTGTTTTAGGTCTGTTTTGGTTAAGTTACTTATTAATTATTATAAAAAAAATATTTTTTTTACCCGAAGCATGTACGATGTCGCCCCCAAACTCTGGAAAGGGTACACGTCGTGGCAAGTCCAGAGCTTCATCTGAGACAGTCGCTTCTCCTTCTTCCCAGTCGGACACTTCATCTTCTTCTTGTAGCTGGAAATAATGAGATAACCTTCATGTTTGAGGAATGTTATTGCCAGTATTGTATCTTTTGTTGATTTTTTAAAACTTTATTTTAACCTGACATCGGAATCTAAATATTTTACGATGGGTTGTTCAGTTGGTTATCCAATTAAAATTTTTAATGTTAACTGCATGACCCACTCGCTGTTTTTGCTACTAAACGAGTTTGTGCAATTTTTTTAATGATCCAAGTGACGGAAAGAATAAGTCATGAGCCTTGTGGTAAGCGACAGCGTGTTCGTATGTCTCAGAGCTTTAAATCGCAAAGATGGGCACTGCAACTGCGCCTGTCACCCTGAGACATAAGTTGACAAGTCTGATATGCCTGTAATTTACGTTTGCACCTGTACCTTTCAAAATGGAAATGCAATAATGCTCACAATTCTGCTTGGCTGCAGAAAGTAAGGTAGCGACAGTCGCGTGGCGTGGTGGGTTCAGACTGCAGGCTAACACAAAAACACAGTCGAACGACCCTGTCTGAACGAACTTCTTTTGTAATTATGAAAATAGATAGGGCAAGAAATTTTAGGTTGGCCCCGGGCGGCAGAAAACAACGCTACGCCACCGGGTGGCAGTACTTCTCCGGACGAACTGTTTCACAAGAAGCTCTACTGCTACTAAATTTATACTACTAAAATAGGTACTCACTATCATTTAAGATACTCGTTGTATCATCATCATATAAACCGTGTATACTCCCGCTACAGCACACAGATCTTATCTAAAGAGTCTTAATAAAATCTTTAAGAATAACTTACTGGAGGTGTAATATCCCGGTGCCTTGAGTTCAGGGAGCGTGGCGAAGACCGCTCCGAAGGCGTGGGACTGGCACTGGCGGAATGGATACCACTGCTGCGTCCTCCGGAGCCATTTTCTGTCTGGTATCTTTCGATCACCTGAAGCATAATGTACACACATTTTAAAAACAACGAATGCTGATATGTTGTGAAATGGTGGTTTTTCGAATTTGTCATCATTTAAATAGTGTAACATAAATCTAGAACAAACTTGATCTTCATTGGTTAAATAAATAAATAAATAATTGAAATAGGCTTTATTTCAATAACACTTAATACATTAAAGTCTGATACTCCAATAGATTCTTGGTTTCCTCGTACGATTTGGACTGTAGCCATTTTGAGATAAGTTTCTTGCAGTCTCTATTAGTTTTAACAAGTAGGTATGTCTATATTAACTAGATTATACAGTTGGGCCGATCGTTTGTTCAATTGTCTATTTGCAAATGTTGTAATTTACTTCAGGTACCTATTTGCACCACAATGTCTACGTCTTTCCTTCTCTTCGTATTATTTAGATTATATTTAGTTTCAGTGATATACAATTTCGTTACAGTGGCTAAACTAAGATGTGGTTTCCATAGTTTAAGTGGCTAAATTAGATAGTTGACACAAGTTGCTAGTGGAAAACTTTTTTTAAAATACATTGTTTTATGTAAAATGGTGTTGCGCACGTCCCATTTCAATGCCGGAGGTAGAAGATGTGCTGGCCAGCGATCCCATAAGTGACGATCGTATTAGATTTCATTTCTAAAAATTTCGTTTTACGAAAAAAAAATGCCTAGTTGTGACGTAAAATTATACATATCCATAAATTTTACTGCACGTCACTATTGACAACTACGTAGGTACATCAAGTAGCTCCTTCAACGTAGTTATGAATTTATACGAAACTTGATGAGCGAACAAACGTCAAGACGGCCATCATGGCGTGCCTTTGCTATAATTGGAACGTGCAAAAAAAAAAACCATAATTGTAGACAGATTAATAATTAAACGAGTTAGAATAACAGAAATGTGACAAATTTCATTTAGTTGTCCGAGCCCTTACACTCGAAGCACAAAATCCGTATAGTTACGGCTTTTTCCCACTATGGATGACCTACAGACTTTAGTTTCTATCGGGGTTAGAACTAAGAATGTATGACAATGCGACTTGATTGTTACACACGGGCTCTATCGTTTCAAACGGGTCTTTTCGTTGATAGACTTCGAGAGTAGTCCGGTAACAGACAATTTCTTCTTTGCACAAAAGTATGAGCTATCAAGTTTTATAATTAACCTCACAAGAAGAGACCTTGACCGTTGTGCTTCATTCTGTAATAATAATTTGTTTTATGAACAATTTTTACGGTGCTATAAAAGACTATTTACTTCTTATTATAGAAGTTCACATGATTGTAGCGTGATTGAAATTATTGACCTTTGGTCTTTTTTTATTTTTTGCACCGACGCGACGTTTCGAAATTAATGATGTCGTTATTTAAATTACAAAACAGAATTGTAACGATTTTCATTGAAGAATGTAATAAAATCCAGGATATTATTATAGTTGTACTTAGCTTATCTATCAAATCATGGCCTTAAATCAGCTTTAGGGATTTAAAGATTAATTACGATTGATCCTTATAATGTACTAGCTGTACCCGACATGCTTTGCAATGGCATAGGTGGTGGACTATGGCTTGAACCCTCTTCTGTAAAGAGACCCATGTCAAGAAGTGGGATCTAATACTTCAGAAACCTTTGCGTACGCACAACAATTCATAAAAGTTTTATCGCAACCGGATGAGTAATGAAAGAATGCTTATGAGACAAACATACTTCACAATTTTTTTATATACATATAGAAGTTAATGATTATCAATTTTAAATTATGCAATTGAATGTTTGTTGATTTCTATTTGCTAATGAATTTTCGAGAGTATTTACAATAAAAATTAATGCAACGAGACGCAATAATTTAGGATACTTGACGTTCTTTTATGTCACCATATTTGAGTAGTTTTTAACCGACTTAAAAAAAGGAGGAGTGTGTTACGCGATTGGAGGTGCCATTGTCTTCAATTTTGAACTTACTTAACACTCTTAGGGGTGGGAAATTAGGGGGAATCCGGTTTATTTTTTTATAAAAAAAGCTATTGTTTAATTGGCTGCGATGTTGTTGTTTTTATTCTAAGTAAATAATTTTCGTCTTCATGTTGAGTACATCACTTTAGTAATGTCGCTATGTCAGAAAGGGTTACCTTGAGTAGTGGCCCCATTTAAATTTGAAGGAAATATTATCCTATCCTCTAAGAATGGCAAATTATAGGATAATCCGGTTTATTGCATTTTACCTCTATAGATCCCAAACTAGGGAATAAATCCGGTTTCGCTCACTTTCCGCTAACCGATTTCAATAAAACTTGGCAAATATATGTGATTCCATAAACTTTAGAGGTCAGTTTTTTTATAATCAAGTTATAGTTATAAAATAATGTGTTTCCGTGTTTTACAATTTTGTGTTTCTGTGGTAATCAAAGAGTTTTCTTCTTTCGGCTCGTCGTAAACGACTTAAGAAACAAAGTTTCGTCATGTTTGTTGGTATAATATTGTGTGATATCATCTTCACTTGCGTGTACGGATTGATAATTTTGTATTATTAGATACATAGATAAGTTTAATCACAATCATGTAACGAATGTAATATACATGTGTTATAGATCACAATGGAAGTTCGAAATGGAAGTACCTACTATAAAGAAACTAATATTGAACGGAATATCCCTGGCAGCATTTGCTGCTTACCTTTTACAGGTGTTACATTGTTCAAATATTCACCTTCGCTTCTGCAAGGGATATATAGGCTGTTGCACGATTGCATATTTACATTTACAAGAATTGTTGGAGCAAAATTTACGAATAATTAATAGAAAAAAAGCCTGCTTTTAAGGATTTTTTTCTGAGTTCTTCTCATCTTTGTATTAACAATTATGGCAAACTAGTGGAGTAATTTCACTTAAAAAATATTGAGCATCAATTCAATAAAATATTTAAATAGGTACAGTAAGTAGCAACATCTATAGCTGGCTGACGAAATACTTTAAATTTCTAATAGAGTGCGCTACGGCTAAAAAGTCGTTGAAAAACCAAATGCAAGGATATAACAACAAACCATTGACTTACAATTAATGGACGTCGGGTCCGCGCTGAAAAGTGTCCGAACTTATATGGCGTTAAAATCGTACACAGAGCGTCATTCACGCTTTAGTCTTCGTTTGTTCGACTGACAGCGAAGCAAGCAAAATTAGACAGTACTGCGATGACATTACAATTTAAATTCAACGTTTTAGCTTTTTCATATTCCTTTACATGTCACTACGTTTAAATAGGTTGACTTGGGACATTTTTTTCGTGGTTTTTGTATTAGACCCGTCGTCCATTTATTTGTAAATCAATGCAACAAACACATAGAAAAATTCGTGAGGTCCGCTGGTTCGTTCCGTGCTTAGTTGGTATAGCGTCTTGTACGGTATGCTAGAATACGTCGGTTCGAATCCGGCCGGATCGAAGGAATTTTTTCTGAGTTTTCGATCTTTGTATTAATAATTATAACAAATCTATTATATTTGCTGTAACAAAAAACCTCCTTAAATTCATGTACTAACGACATTAGTACCAGTAGAGTTTCTTGTGAAAGAGCTCTTCCACGGAAGTACTGCAAGCTTACCTATTTCTGCCGCCAAGCAGTAATGTGAGCATTACTGCGTTCCGGGCTTGAAGGGTAAGGGTGTTGGTGAAATTACAGGCAAATGGTACTTGTTAACTTATGTCTCAGGGTGACGGGCGCAGTGCCTCTCAGATCTTTGAGATTTAATGCTCTGAGTGGCACTGTAACTGATATGGACCGACGTGTCGGTTACCACCAGGCGCACATAAATAAAAAGAAAACGTTTCAACACCAAACATGAAAACAATTTTAGTAATTCTTCAAAAATACATCCATTACAATTGCTACATATCACTTTACTAGTAAAGAAACACAAGTAAAGCTACACCTCATTTGCACTGGGAAAGTAGTTGACAATGGAGTTGAAGAAATTGTACATGCTTGAAGTGACACTTAGAAACACTGACTATAAATTGTTGTTACGATCAATTGTGATTTAAGCACTTATATGAGATGTTTCTTAAAGAGAAATGCTGTCTCACGACAGGGAAACGTTTTAATACTGGAAACGTATTTTACTGCTCCAGCTGAGGGAGCTAGGGTTGATAGAAGCGTGGTGTTTGAGATTATACTCTTTTGATTTTGTAATTAAGAGTCTATTACCTTAAATGACTGATTGATTTTGCATAACACTCAAAGTGTTGAATTTTGGGAAAAAATAAATAGTAAAGTTGAAGATACACTGATTACTATACGGCGTGAAAACAAGATTTTTAAAATTATCACGATACAAAAAAAAACAAACTTAAACGTATTCAATAAATACTTTACATATACCTATGATTTTTTTTTAATATCAACTGAAGTAATTAGAACCCGTAATACTTTATGATATACATTTTTGAAATGGTCTTAATTTTGGTTTGTAAAAAAATCATCTCGACGCATGCAAAATGAACCGTATTTGT